ATGATCACCATATTGAGACAATGTGTCGTGCTCAATATTTGGGTTGTTTTTACACTTTGAACTTTGTCTGTGACATAACTCTGACACAACAAGAGGTATACCTTCCTGTGTCCAAAACCTATTCGGGGAGCAACACCCGGTTCAACCGGCTCTTGTTTTCTATTTTTAGAAATTGCGTCATGTTGCTATTTTAAGAAATTGCGTACTGTTGCTATTTTTAGAAATATGCTTAATGTTTCTATTCATATATATATATACAAAATATATAAACAAAACTAATGTGACAAGACAGACCAACTAAATTTATAAAAAGGAAACGTTAATATATGTTCAAAAGTAAAAAGTCGAGTGTTGCCCCCGCCCGGCGGTGGCTCTTGTTAAGAACTCAAAGAGCTAGAGCTAAGATATTTAGCATGAAACATGTTCTAATGGGTGTCTACCAAGTTTGTTCAAATAAAAGCCCTGGGGTCAAAATTGGCCCCGCCCCGGGGGTCATTGATTTTCCTTATATGTGTTTAGCAAAAACTTAAAAATCTTCTTTGAAAAAACCCAAATAGCTAGAGTTTAGATATTAAGCATGAAACATCTTCTAGTGAGTGTCTACCTAGTTTGTTCAAATAAAAGACCTTGGGTCAAAATTGGCCCCGCCCCAGGGGGTCTTTGATTTTCCCTATATGCATATAGTAAAAACTTAAAAATCTTCTTTTAAACAACCCAAAGAGCTAAAGCTAAGATATTTAGCATGAAACATCTTCTAATGAGTGTCTACCAAGTTTGTTCAAATAAAAACCCTAGGGTCAAAATTGGCCCCGCCCCAGGGGGTCATTGATTTTCCCTATATGCATATAGTAAAAACTTAAAAAATCTTCTTTTAAAGAACTCAAAGAGCTAGAGCTAAGATATTTAGCATGAAACATGTTCTAATGGGTGTCTACCAAGTTTGTTCAAATAAAAGCCCTGGGGTCAAAATTGGCCCCGCCCCGGGGGTCATTGATTTTCCTTATATGTGTTTAGCAAAAACTTAAAAATCTTCTTTGAAAAAACCCAAATAGCTAGAGTTTAGATATTAAGCATGAAACATCTTCTAGTGAGTGTCTACCTAGTTTGTTCAAATAAAAGACATTGGGTCAAAATTGGCCCCGCCCCAGGGGGTCTTTGATTTTCCCTATATGCATATAGTAAAAACTTAAGAATCTTCTTTTAAACAACCCAAAGAGCTAAAGCTAAGATATTTAGCATGAAACATCTTCTAATGAGTGTCTACCAAGTTTGTTCAAATAAAAACCCTAGGGTCAAAATTGGCCCCGCCCCAGGGGGTCATTGATTTTCCCTATATGCATATAGTAAAAACTTTAAAAATCTTCTTTTAAAGAACTCAAAGAGCTAGAGCTAAGATATTTAGCATGAAACATGTTCTAATGGGTGTCTACCAAGTTTGTTCAAATAAAAGCCCTGGGGTCAAAATTGGCCCCGCCCAGGGGGTCATTCATTAGCTCGACTTTTTTTTAGATATATACATATATATATACATATATATTTAATATTTATATACATATATATATATATATATATATATATATATATATATATATATATATATATATATATATATATATATATATATATATATATATACATACATACATATATACAACCAAGTTTGTTCAAATAAAAGCCCTGGGGTTTAAACTGGCCCCACTCCGGGGGCCTATATACAGGTGAGCGACTTTGGGCCATCATGGCCCTCTTGCTTATTTATTGTAATCATATTTTTATTACCCAGTATTTAACTGTAAGTGTAAAATAATACCCCTTAAAATCAAATTTATAGAATTAATAAGGTTAAATTTAAATATGCTGCGTAATGGATTATTAAATAAGTGTTTTTAAAGCTTTTTATGTCCTCACAAAGTGGGTGCATATAGCATTGCACTTGTCCGTCTATCCGTCCGTACGTCCGGAAATCTTGTGAACGCAACTTCTCTTAAACCGGATGGCAGATTTTGGTTAAACTTCCAGGGATGAACAACCTTAATGTGTAGATGGTAGTAAAGGAAGGAATTTTCGCTGCCACCAAATTTAAGAGAATTATGGCCCTTTGTTGATTTTTTCACTACATACTATGTAGAAATTTTGTGAACGCAACTCCTCTTAAACCGGATGGCAGATTTTGCTTAAACTTCCAGGGATGAACAACCTTAATGTGTAAATGGTAGTAAAGGAAGGAATTTTTGCTGCGACCAAATTTATCAGAATTATGGCCCTTTATAGATTTTTTCACTATATACTATGTAGAAATTTTGTGAACGCAACTCCTCTTAAACCGGATGGCAGATTTTGCTTAAACTTGCAGGGATGAACAACCTTAATGTGTAGTTGGAAGTAAAGGAAGGAATTTTTGCTGCGACCAAATTTAACAGAATTATGGCCCTTTGTTGATTTTAGCTCACCTGTCACAAAGTGACAGGGTGAGCTTTTGTGATCGCTTTTAGTAAGTAAGTAAGTAAGTAAAGGCTTTATTTATCAAGGCTACACATTTGGTTTCCCAATCTTCCATGTGGGCCTCTATGAAACATAATTTACAATATATACAACTACAATATTACAAAAATAATTGCAACAACATTGTGTTACAATGTACATTGAAATTGTCAGAACAAGAAATACATGTTAAATAATGATATACAGTCCATTAATAGCATAATACATGTCAAAGAAGTACATATCAAATGAAATACGTTTTAGTGGAACATCAAATGATTAGATTCTAATTTTGTTATAAAATGATTAATTTAATGATGAGAAATGCCAGGATAGATATGAAGCTTGAAATTCCTGAACTGTTTTAGATTTTCTTATGTTAAGAGGGATATTATTCCATAATTTAGGGCCAGAGTATACTAGGGATTTTCTAAAAAATTCTTTCTTAGGTCGTGGAACAGCTAGGTCTGAACTATTTGTAGATCTTAAGTTGCGCTCATGTTTTTGGTAAACAAATTGGAATTTACTTTGCATGTATTGTGGATATGGTATGTCATTGATAGATTTAAACATTATGATTGCTTTTTTGTATTTCATTCTTTCATCAAATCTCATCCAATTTAGTTCTTTAAACAAATCACTGGAGGGTGCATCATAACTTTTATCTAGAATTATTCTTGCTGCTCTTTTTTGAAATTTTATGATTTCATTGATCAGATCATTGCTGCAATTGCCCCAGATAGTACAGCAATAATCTAAGTGTGGTAAGATGTATGAGTTAAAGAATAGGTATTGCTTGATTCTGAGAAGTAGGTATAACTGAGAGTTGCATTTTTTAAGTATCATTTCTATTTGGATCTTCCATTTTAGTTTACTATCAACAAAAACACCTAGTAACTTTTCGGTTTCAGAAAATTGGATCATTTGATCTTGAAGGTGTAAAGGTGGTAAATGAAGCTGTGTTTTATTTGATGTAAGGTGCATTGCCTTTGTTTTCTGTGTATTTAACACCATTGCATTTTGTGTTTACATGTTCGAGGTTAGTTTGAAGTTTATTATGTAGTTCTTGTGGTGAATGTCCTGATGCTGTAAGTGTGGTGTCATCTGCAAACATGTCTATTTCTGAGGTCTCTAAATGAAGTGGGAGATCATTGATGTATATAATGAAAAGCAGGGGCCCGAGGACAGATCCTTGGGGAACACCTGATATAACCTCTGCATATTCTGAGAGTTTACCTGATATACTGACTTTCTGTGTTCTGTTTGCAAGATAAGATGAAAACCATTTAATTGTATGAGAAGAACAATGGTAATAATGCAGTTTCTGAATAAGAATTTTATGGTTTACAAGGTCAAATGCTTTGGTAAGGTCAAGGAAAATTGTGCCAACTAGTTCTCCATCATTTATTGCATTTATCCAATTGTCAACTGTTTGTTAATGCTGTTTCACAAGAGTGCTTGGTCCTGAATCCTGACTGGGTCTTAAAAATAAACTTATGAGTTTCTAGAAATTGTTTTAGATGGTCAGATACGTGCTTTTCAAATATTTTAGAAATGAGTGGAAGTACAGATATTGGTCGGTAATTATTTTTATCAGAATTTCGTCCTTTTTTATAAATGGGTGTAACTTTTGATTGTTTTAATTTGGTAGGAAACTTTCCTGTTTGAACACTTAAATTGATAATAGTAGATAAAGGTCTATATATTACAGAAGATGCAGTTTTTAGAAATCTAGCACTGATTCCATCAAGCCCAGTGGCCTTTTTGACATCAAGTGAGTCTAATGTTTTTTTAACATGATCCGGTTCAATTGGTGGTATCACAAATTCTGGAATATCTAAGTTAACTTTACCTTCTAACATTTCTTTTAATATAGATTCATTTGCTTTATTCAGTGCTGAAATATTTCCTGATTTTTTAAATACGTTTGAAAAGAAAGTATTGAATATTTCTGCTGTTTCTTTTGGGTCAGAGACTGGATTTCCATTGTCATCATTTATATAGTTTGTTTGGAAGTTGTCAGTTTTGCCAGATAGTACTTTTAGGTTCTTCCATAACTTTTTAGGATTTTTATTCTGTGAATTTATTTCTTGATTAAAGAAGTCTTTTTTTGATTGATGGGATAGTATTTTAACTTGTGATCTCCAGTATTTGAATTCTTCTGTTTTATTTTTCTTTTTAGCATAATCTCTCATATGAATAGCACTGGCTATTTCATCTGTGAACCATTCATTCTGGTTTTTGTGTTTTACCCGTTTTTGTCTATATGGTGCATGTGAATCAAGAACTTTTAAAAATAAGTCATAAAATGTGTCAAGAGCATCATCTGGTTCAGTAAAAACATCAATCAATGTCCATGGTTGATTACTTAGATCAGCTAAAAAATGTTCTGCATTAAATTGCTTTAAATATCTATAATTGATAGTAAGGTGTAATGGGCCTTTTTAGCTCACCTTGCACAAAGTGCAGGTGAGCTTTTAGGATGGCCAACCAAATGGCGTCCGTCGTACACATTTTATTCAGACGACATCTTCTACAATACCACTGGGCCAATATTAATGAAACTTGGCAGGAATACTCATTGTATGAAGCTCTATCAAGATTGTTCAAAAAATGCCATTCCATGGTAAACTCTGGTTGCTATGGCAACTAAAAGAAAAAACTTATAAGTTCTTATACTTCAAAATGGAAAGGGCTAGAGCTTAGATATTTCTCACAAGGCATTAGCTTGTTAGTTCCTACAAAGTATATTCAAATTATTATCTAAAGCTGAAAATTGGTCTCTATTTTGGTAGTTAAAGGTTTTTTTATTGCAAGGTTATATAGACTTTCTTTGTAGGGATAAATTGAGACAGTGTATCTTGTATTATTTGTCTGAACAGACATTGTTATGAAGATTTTTCTTTTAAAGCATTAGAAGGATGAAAAGTTTGTTGAATGTGAATGTTAATTCAAAACAGAGTCGATCAGAATAGCACAAATTTGAGAGCTATAGTGAAGTTGATTTCCCTATTCAATAATGGATTTTTCCATTAATTTCGTAATATCATCAGAAAGGAAGACTGTGTCATTTCCGAAATTAAATGCATTGTATTTTGGTTCTTGACATTGACTTGCACATTTTCTTTGTAAGATATTGCACAAAGAAACGAAAGTGAACAAAAAGTGTTGTATTTCTTTCACAAAAAAATAGCTTATTAAGATAAAAGTTTAATTTACAGTGCGGATATGACTTAAATTCTTCCTTCCGGTTTGCGGAAAAAATCATATATTCAACATTGTGTACACCGGTCTTACTGAATCTGCTGAACGATTTATGACATAATATTTTATTCTGATTATAAACATACAATTCAAATCATTAAATAATAGATATCAATCAGTCCTGAGTCTTAGAAAAGATCTGTATCAATCTGACCTATACACTAAACTAAATCGGATTACGGGAATTAGGACAAAATGGCGACCTTGAACAAGGAAATTGAGAAATTTTGTAACATAAACTCGTATTTCAAAACAAAGAAGTGAAGATGAATACAATTATCGATGTGCTTCGTTGAAACAGGTTTTTTGTTAACTATTTGTGAAGTATTAAGGGATGACATTTAGTATTTATGTAAATATCACCTCCCGTGATATGATTTCCAAAATTATACATGTTTTCGGCGATCTCCGAGGTCATTTTTCTGAATGACGCAAATCCGATGAGAAATCGGGAAGGGTGTGTGAGCATGCCTCATTAATTAGCGTGTGCACATTGCTTGATAATGCTTGATATATATTTTAAAATAAATTTGTCCATCTCAGACTCGTTTGTATACGAATCAAAACAATTACGGAGATTGCCGATGAAAAATTGAGCTAGAATATACAAGATCAGATTTGATTGGTCGTCGTTTTTTACTAGCCAATGAAATCGTTTGTTGCATAGTCATTTGATGTCAAAATACATGTACAAATACAAGAAGTGTTTACCGCCTGGTCTGAAAAAGGGTGCAAAAAACAAATGGAGGTGGGAGTGGTTAGCGGAAAAGGACTCTAAATGTGAAAAATGGGATGCTTGGTTGAAGAAACCAAATGCAATGGGCTTTTGTGAAGTCTGTTCCAAAACGATCAACTAGACAAATCGAACAGAAAAAGGTGCTTCTTAATCACGATGAGCTGAAGATGAGGACCACTAAAAGAATCTTAGACCAAGTAAGATCATTTCTCTTTGTAGTTTAGCCACTATCTAGAGTAAGTAACGAAAAGAGGTTTAGTTGTGCATTGTGTAGTTAATAAACAATTCACATTACCCCACCCTCTTTTTCTTCTGTCTTCCCCCAACTTTCATGTGGTCTGGGCAAGGGTTGGGGGTTGAATTAAAAAATGGCCTTGTGCAGGCCTATGCCCAAATTTTTAATAGGTCTGGAGATTTTTTTTTCAGCTTGATATTATTTTAAGGATTAGAACACGATTTTCTTTATCTATGTTTTTTTTAGTTTGATTATCTCCTTGTTTCCAAACTAAATTGACAATTTATGAGTGTGATATTTTATTTGATATGTTTCATACATCTTTTATTTGAAAATTGTCTTTTTCAGGTACTGCCAGGCTCATCAAAAGCTGTGGACAAAAAGATTGAAAGTATGCAAGACCGCATTGCCATACAAAGAGCAATCACAACTGCCTTTCTTAGTGAACATTGACTGCCATTTTCCATAGCAGGCGATCTCTACGTTTAGCTGAACACAAGCCTGCTCTTGAAAAAACTTCTCTTTCTCCAACCAGTGCAATGTACATAACAACACATGGTGTAGCCAAATCTGTTAAGGTCAAAAGTGAAAGACAAGTTAATATCTTTGAATATGGATGAGGCAACTAACAAAAAACAATAACAAAGTAATCTTTTAGTACTTTGATGATGAAACTAGTCAAGTAGTAATGGATCATTTAGGATTGAAAATTCAAAATGTTTCCACATCTGAAGAAATTGTCAAGTCAGTTGAAAGTGTGCTACATTAACAAGTGGAAGACAATGGAAAAGGATTAAATTTAAGATATGAAATTGAAAGTAAAAGAATGAACATAATTTGTTATGTGGAATGTGTATATATTGCTTAAATAGTATTGCTCAGTGAATTTGTGTAAATTTTAACATATCAGATTAATTACATCTGAAGATATATAAAGCACTTGAGTATGTATCTGAGCCTTTTTTGAACTTTTAAATTCACTAAATTGCAAAAGCTTCCAAGGGCCTCCAGCCCCCTGACCCCCAACTTTTTCTTTCAGAATTTAAGTTTCTGTAACTTTTACCCCTGCATGTACACATGTGTTTATCACCTCAATAAATGTAAGTGAAAATGGAACAATAATTATGGTAATTATCCATGGTGCTAGAAATACTTAATTATCTTTATCATGTTAACTAAGCAAGAAGCTTATAATTGTTATCAATTTAAACTTGAAAATCTAGTCTAAATGACTTCCCAAACAGTAATTTCTGAAAACATGAAAATGATTCGTGTAGAAAAATAACACAAGAAAAAACTGATTTGACTCATGAAATTTTTTGGCCAAACAGTCTGCCACGTGAAATTCTGACCTTCCTGAGATCCCTGCTGTTTGTTTTTTTTTCTGTACGAAATCTGCTGTGGTCATAGTATTATTTTTACAATAGTTTTATCTCTTGGATTTGGTTCGCTAAATTGCTAATCATGGTCATGCAACTACATAGTTAGATGAAGAAGCAGGCGCTTGTTTTGGTTGAGTCTATTATGTTTTGTTTAGGGGGTTGAGTTGTCATACACAAATTTACAATTTATATGCATTTATTTTTTTCCAATGATTGTTATTATCTTAAATGCTTCTGGGATTGTTGTTTTATCAATTCATTTGTAAATAAGATTGTTATATGTCTATTAACGGAATAATTTTAATGAACACGAAATTAGTTCACACCTACATGTGTATTGGTATTAACGTGATGGTTTAAGCCAATGAAAACACGTCAATATTATTATACTCAGGCAGAGAAAAAGTGTGCAAAGAGTAAATCGATAATCTTTATGTAGCCAGCAAACTTTGAATTGCAAGTATTTTTTCATATCTTTTCGGCAGGATAAACTGTCCGAGGATTCGTATCGTAAAATGGCTGCCTTTTACAGTATCAAGTGATTATCCCAAGCACCACCGCGACTTAGCGCGGGAATTTTAATTATAGCTAACCTCTGCGCGAATACCTTTTTCATATTTTATTGTAATAAATATTTACAAACTGTGTCTTTCGGGGTTTTTTTTATCAATATATAGCCAATAATGATGTTAATATGAATAAATAATCATATCTCAAATCTTTGACTATGATTTACAATGAAATTCTACCTTTAGTGTATTAAAAAGGTTTTTAATTTCCTGTAATTTTATTTTGTGATTATGCTTCAAAGCAGTCAATTGACCGTGAATTTTCTTTTCATATTTTGATTTCCTTGAAATCATTTTTCTCATCAGAAGGCATGCAACTTTAATATGGTGATACATTAATTACATTCCATGAAAATGTTTAAAGATATAAAATATCTCATGACATGTTTGTTCATTTTACATTACACCTTTTATTCAGCAAGAATGAAGTCTTCACAAAAAGTAGTATGCAATCGTACCTATATTACATACGAATGTATGTAATATTTTTCTTGTTTAATAACATTTTACATGATTTTATTAACCAGGTTTTCCGAAGGAAAAAACTGGTTATTAGATTGAGGTATGTCGGCGGGCGGGCGGGCGTAAACAATTTCTTCTGTGCGCAACTCCTCCTACATTTCTCAACAGATTTTGACCAAACTTTCACAGAAGCTTTGTCATCAAGTGCCCTGGCGCATATTGTCCGGGTTTTGCCATTGGATAATATTTGACCTAATTATGGCCCTTTGTTGTTTTTTCTTATATAGAATATATAGTGAACAATTTCTTCTGTGCGCAACTCCCCCTACATTTATCAACAGATTTTGACCAAACTTTTACAGAAGCTTTATCATCAAGTGCCCTGGCACATATTGTCGGGGTTTTGCGATTGGATAATATTTGACCTAATTATGGCCCTTTGTTTTTTTTTATATAGAATATATAGTGAACAATTTCTTCTGTGCGCAACTCCTACATTTCTCAACGGATTTTGACCAAACTTTCACAGAAGCTTTGTCATCAAGTGCTCTGGCACATATTGTCCGGGTTTTGCGATTGGATAATATTTGACCTAATTATGGCCCTTTGTTTTTTTTCCTTATATAGAATATATAGTGAACAATTTCTTCTGTGCGAGACTCCTCTTACATTTTTCAACGGATTTTGACCAAACTTTCTCAGAAGCTTTGTTATCAAGTTCCCTGGCACATATTATCAGGGTTTTGTGATTGGATAATATTTGACGTAATTATGACCCTTTGTTTTTTTTCCTTATATAGAATATATAGTGAACAATTTCTACAGTGCGCAACTTCTCCTACATTTCTCAACAGATTTTGACCAAACTTTCACAGAAGCTTTGTTATCAAGTGCCCTGGCGCATATTGTCGGGGTTTTGTGATTTGATAATATTTGACCTAATTATGCCCCTTTGTTTTTTTTCCTCAATATATAATGATCAAATTCTTCTGTGCTGAACTAGTCCTACATTTCTCAACAGATTTTGTTCAAACTTTCACAGAAGCCATATCATCAAGTGCCCTGGCGCATATTGTAGAGGTTTTGTGATTGGATACTTTTTGACCTAATTACGGCCCTTTGTTTTTTTTCCTTATACAGAATATATAGTGAACACTTCTTCTGTGGCAATTCCTCCTTCATTATTCATGTTTTACATTGCACATAGTTACATTGTTTATTGCTTGTATTTGTATTTCAAATACAACATATTTATCTACAATGGAGATAATTGAAAACCTGGTTTCGTGGCATTGCCATGTTTCTTGTTTTATGATTAAACCTGTGTATAGAGCCACTCATGTGAACAGGAAGAAGTTTTTGTAGAAAGGGATGTCCAAATATGATAAACCATAGATGCTTGGGGGTTAGATCCTGTCTCCAACATGATACCCCTGAGTAAACACCTTTATCAAAAATTATTTTAATATCTAAACACTAATGGGATATCTGGTACAACTATAATACTGGTTTTCGAAAAATTTTACATAATCATATGCAAAAAAAATACTGTTTACCATCATGTATTGAGACTTAATTCCGGGCAGACAGGCGAATTGGTTGGGCCTTTTTGGTAACATTTTTCTCAGCAACTACTCTAGAGAACCTCATAATATTTAGTTTACAGCATTAACACATTGTCCCATACCATGGGATTCGATTTCAGGTCTGTCGCTCATCCACTTCATGTTAACTGACTTAGTTAAATTCATAATAATGGTCAATGGTAGGAATTTTTCCTAACGATTTTCTCAGCAACTACTTATCACAGCCTCTTGATATTTGGTATGCAGCATCAACATGTAGTCACATACAATGGGATATGATTTCAGGTATGTGGCTCATTCACTTCCCGTTTGATGACTTAGTTGAATTTTTGGCATTAATTGTAAATGGAAGGAAATTTCTGTAACAGTTTTCTCAGCAACTACATAACACAGCCTCTTGATATTTGGTAATGTGACTGCATTAATATGTGGTCCCAAGTTCAGGTCTATCGCTTATCCACTTCCTGTTTACCGACTTAGTAAAAAGTTCGACATTACTGGTCAATGGTAGTACATTTTTGTAACATCACAGCCTCATGAGTCATGTTATTTGGTATACAAATGCAACCCGGCCATTTTTGTCTTTGACCCATTTTTATTGAAGTATTATCCAAATTTGTACTTCGCCTTGTTAATTATGATGTCATTGTTAAAATTTTCATGATGTAAACACACTACAGGGAGTGTATTTTTTAGCAACCTATACTTTAAAGAAAAGAAAAAAGAGGTATTTCTATACACTTGATTGCATTCCTCTTGCTCAAAAATACTTTACATTTGACACTAACTAAATAACATTTTAAGTATTTTATAAACATGTTGCTTGTTTTAAATAAGAAAAATCCAGTTAACATCTATTTCTTAAGGTGAGCGATATAGGGCCATCATGGCCCTCTTGTTTGATTTTTGACTTAGTTTTACGGGTAAAAACAATGGGGGAATGGTCACTTATTGAAAGAATTGGGACCTTAATATTACATATATTTTGAGACTGATTTGTGTAGAGATGGTCAATGATAGTTGAGGATGTTGGCGTGACTCTAGTAGGTTGTGTTATTAGTTGATTTAAATTGAATGTACTGATTGTATTATTCCATTTTCAATTAACTGAAATAGAATTAATAAAATTGTAGTTGAAATCGCCAAAGAGAATGATTTCTTTGTTTTCAACGTATAAGGTTTCTAATATTTTTTCAATTTCTTCAGTCCATGAATTAAGTGATGAAGGGGGCCTATAAATATATCCTACAATAAAAGGTTTTTGTTTGTCAAGCTTCATTTCTATCCATATTGCTTCAATATCACTTAAATTAAGGTCTGTTCTACTCTCACAATGTAAGTTTGATTTTACATATAAAACTATTCCTCCCCCATTTGATTGTCTGTCATGCCTGAAAAGTTGATAATTTGTTTAATTAATTTCATTGTTTGAGAAAGCATCACTGAGAAAGGTTTCTTGTAATCCAAGAATGTCAATATCCGGGAGATTATCAACTAGAAACTGAATTTCACTGAATTTTGGATATAAATAATGTATATTGAGATGCATAAAGTTAAGTCCATTTTTGTCTAATTTTAAGTCTTGGAGTTTTAAGTCTTGATGTGATGTGTCCAGATTGTTATTACTTATTTTAAGAGGAAATTTATTTTCTTGACTATTTTCATTTTCTTGATGAGTATGTAAAGATGTAGAATCATTAAGAGCTTCGAAATGGAGTTTGTCACCGATTCCACTTTGTACAGTTAGTATGGTGCATGATGCACTGGTGTCCATGGATATGGCCTCTGCATCCATATTGGCATCCTTCTGTTGAAATTGTGTTGGGGAATCCTGTTGTGACCTTGATATTGCTGTCTCCTCTTATGTTGGTTTCTGTTGTTCCAATAAGATTGATGTGGTGGTATTCTGTGACGGTTGTCCCTGGGAAAATTTCGAGCAGACTGTGCTGGAGAACCTTTGATGTTTAGGGTAGATTTAATGGCTGCCAAAATTTGCCCTCCGAGCACAGCACCACCAGATTTATTAAGGTGGACTTCGTCATAGTACAGCCTTTCATTGATGTTTTCATCCGTTGTAAATGATTGTGTATTGTCCACAAATGTGTAACCGTTTCGTCCGGGTCCGTCCGTCGTCCGTCCGTCCGTAAACTTTTACTTTAAATGACATCTCCTCATAAACCACTAAGCCAATTTCATCCAAACTTCACAGGAATGTTTCTTTGGTGGTCACCTTTAAAAATTGTTCAAAGAATTTAATTCCATGCAGAACTCTGGTTGCCATGGCAACCGAAAGAAAAAAACTTTAAATATCTTCTTTTAAAAAGCCCTAAAAGCTAGAGCTTAGTTATGTGGCATGAAACATCTTCTGGTGAGTGTCTACGAAGTTTGTTCAAATAAAATCCCTGGGGTCAAAATTGGCCCCGCCCCAGGGGGTCATTGATTTTCCCTATATGCATATAGTAAAAACTTAAAAATCTTCTTTTAAAGAACCCAAAGAGCTAGAGCTAAGATATTCAGCATGAAACATCTTCTAATGAGTGTCTACCAAGTTTGTTCAAATAAAAGCCCTGGGGTCAAAATTGGCCCCGCCCCAGGGGGTCATTGATTTTCCCTATATGCATATAGTAAAAACTTAAAAAATCTTCTTTGAAAGAACTCAAAGAGGAGCTAGAGCTAAGATATTCAGCATGAAACATCTTCTAATGGGTGTCTACCAAGTTTGTTCAAATAAAAGCCCCGGGGTCAAAATTGGCCCCGCCCCGGGGGGTCATTGATTTTTCCTTATATGTGTATAGCAAAAACTTAAATAATCTTCTTTGAAAAAAACCCAAATAGCTAGAGTTTAGATATTAAGCCTGAAACATCTTCTAGTGAGTGTCTACAAAGTTTGTTCAAATAATAGCCCATGGGTCAAAATTGGCCCCGCCCCGGGGGGTCATTGATTTTCCCTATATGCATATAATAAAAACTTAAAAAATCTTCTTTGAAAAAACCCAAATAGCTAGAGTTTAGATATTAAGCATGAAACATCTTCTGGTAAGTGTCTACAAAGTTTGTTCAAATAAAAGCCCTGGGGTCAAAACTGGCCCCGCCCCAGGGGTGTCATTGTTTTTAACTATATGTGTGTAGTAAAAACTTAAAAATCTTCTTCTAAAAAACCCAATGAGCTAGAAATATCTTCTTATGGATGTCTACAAAGTTTGTTCAAATAAAAGCCCTTGGCTGAAAATTGGCCCTGCTAGGGGGAGGACGGGGGGTGGCTGAGATCATTGTTTTTCTTTACATGTGTGTAGTAAAAACTTAACATTGTGAAACATCTTCTAATGAGTGTCTTCCAAGTTTGTTCAAATAAAAGCCCTGGGGTTTAAACTGGCCCCGCTCCGGGGGCCTATACGCAGGTGAGCGACCTCAGGGCCATCATGGCCCTCTTGTTTCACTATATACCATATAGAAATATTGTGAACGCAATTCCTCTTAAACCGAATGACAGATTTTGCTTAAACTTCCAGGGATGAACAACCTTAATGTGTAGATGGTAGTAAAGGAAGGAATTTTTGCTGCAACCAAATTTAACAGAATTATGGCCCTTTGTTGATTTTTTCACTATATACCATATATATGTTGTCAGTGGGGGCATCCGTGTCCTTTGGACACAGTTCTAGTTTTAATGTTTTAATGGCCATGTATTTCAATTTTTCTAGTGTACAAATGGGAAAATCAAGTGATAATTCTGGCCCAATTAATTTAGTTTGTAACATTATAAACTTTTTTTTCATAAGCTCAAACAAATCAAGGAAAGGTTTATATTTAAGCTAAAATATTATTTCTGTAATATATAACTTAAGAGACAATTCCACATTTTCAATATTGAAAGAGAATATTAATACATTGATTTTAAAACAATCAATATACTGTGACAATCAATATACTGTGATAATTTAGTATTCAACTGTGTAATGCTTGCATATGTTTTAAAGAATATTATCCATAAAATATATAAATTTGATAACTTTATTCAGTATTTCAATATTCAAAATTTAATGTAAAAAGGGAAAAATTTTATTGAAGAGGAGAATCTCAAGTCATGCTGTGTATTGGTATTTTCTGAGAGGGACTGTTTTCATTATACCACCCTCCTGCTGATAAGAGGGCCTCATGGTAAATAACAAAGAACAGTCAATTTTGCAGATTATAACTATGCATTGAAATTCCCTGGTTTTCTCAAAATGCATGTTAGACATAAGCCTGGGGATTCATCAGGTGTTGGCACTCAGGCTAGTTAGTCATATAGATAAATGACCATAATTTTTGTATAATAAAATATACAAAAAAAAAAACAACATTATGGCTTAAATGCATATTAGATATTATTGTCTCTAAAGCAGAATTTTCTATATTTATCCATTTATCCACATTTCTTGCCATTCTGCATAATAATATATAACTTAAGAGACGATTCCTCATGTTCAAGATTGAAAGAGAATGTTAATTCATTGATTTAAAACAATCCATACACTGTGATATTATGTTTTTCAACCATGAAATGCTTGCATACGTTTTAATGATATAAATAATTAAAAATTGTCCATGAAATAAATAGAATTGATAACTTTATTCAAGATTTCTATATTAAAAATATAATGTATAAAGGGAATGCTTTTATACAAGAGGAATTAAGTCTCAAGTCATGCTGTTGTCCTACCTGTATTTTTGATGGGGGGGGGGGGGGCTTTTGTCCTATGTGTAAATTTCATTGGGGGGGGCTGTTGTCCACCTTGTCATTTTTAGACGGGGGAGAGGGCTTTCGTCCGGGGGGGGGGCTTTTGTCCTACACTCGCACTTATGAAGTGCACTACTAGTGCACAACTTGTGCACTTTGTGTAACCTTTAGTGTGAACTCAACTGTACTAGTGGGAATTCAACCAAACTTAATAGAAGTGATCAGTACTATCCTTTGTTGTGCATATGGCCAGCACGTTTAACTTTGCTGCACAAAATGGCTGTCAGAGCTATAAATAGAAAAATCTTGTCTGGCTTTCACAGATAGAACTGCTGGTTAGATTTTAATGAAACTTCACAGGAGTGAACAGTTCCATCCCTAGTTGTGCACATTGCCGGCATGTTCCGCTTCACTGAACAAAATGGCCCCCAGGGTTAAAAATAGAAAAATCTATCACATGTCAAACTGCTGGCTGGATTTCCGCCAAATTCAAAGGAGTCATCAGAACCATACACAGTTTTAGAAGACATATGTTTTTGTGACAAAAACCCTTCCAAGTTCATATATGGCCTTTATTTGATAAACAAATCTTTGAAGTTAGCTGGAATTGTCATTACTTTGTTATTTTTTTTACAGATATGATTCATGCTTGGACAAACAAACACACCACCAACATGTTGAATTATTCTGATTTAACTTTGACCTTTAACTGACCATTACCTCCAAGGTTATACAATTTAATTTGCTCACATTTTCATAACTTTGCTTTTTGTCTATGATTTGATTCATTCTTGGACAAAAGAACACTTATCATTCAACTATGACCTTTACTTAAATGTGTTGACAGTCAAATTCAAATTTGAAATTTACTTTATACACTTATATTATGTTTTCTAGGAGGACTCTTATAGATACTACAATATTCTCAAACTGATGTGTTTGACTTTCTATATAAGAAAAGGCCGAGCATGGCCCAAGCTAGGTAGTGGCTCTTGTTTTCAATGTCAACTACATTATATGTATCCATTCCAATTTACATTCTCACATGTATTATGTATTGTGCTTGAAAGGTTTCTACAAAAAATAAGTTTGTTCTTACAGTCCTGGTTTTATTTTAGAAATATTTTATAGACAGTTAAATTTTCTGTTTATTTTCTATTTGCATAATCATTTCTTGGAATAAGTAAGTGCACTGATTTATGTGTTATACACTCACATATGGAAGTCCTTTACATGAAAATTGGTTAAAAGAAAAATTTAGATAAACTTAAAAAACTATAGTTTCCCAACAAATTCTAATGTCATATTTTGAAATGTTTATTCATGATATATATGATATCAATTATGCATTTTGCCTGGGTTTGTAAGTATGCTCTTGGTTTGGAAGCAATACTTTTATATTGTATACAAAATGGGCACTTATTCTACTTTGAAAGTAGGAATGATATCAGCTTGGAATACCTGAAATAGATTGCTCTACAAATTTCGAACTTTTGTATGCAACATATTGCACCCCCATCAGTGCTTTCAGCACTTTGATTCTTTTTCTTGTTAGGAGCATACTTTGAACTGTTCTGGTTGGAATTCAAAACAAATTCATACAATAGTCAAGCACAATAAGAGGAAATGCAGTGCACAAGAACCATAACGCTATCCAGAATATTTATAGTTATTGCCCTTTGTCACTAGTTGGAATTCAATACACTTTCATACAATGGTCAAGCACATTGAGAGGAAGTGCAGTGCACAAGAACCATAACTCCATCTTGACTAATCACAGAGTTATTGCCCTTCATTACCTTTTCTAGTGGACTAAGTCCAGTTCATAACTTGAAAAATAATGGTTGGAATTCAATGCAACTTCATACAATGGTCAAGCGCAGTAACATGAAGTGCAATGCACAAGAACTATAACTCTATTTGGACTAATTGCATAGTTATTGCCCTTTGTTACTTTTTCTTGTCCTGTCCATAACTTGAAAACTAGTAGTTGGAATTCAATACAACTTCATACAATGGTCAAGCGTAATGAGAGGAAGTGCAGTGCTCAAGAACCATAACTCTATCTGGACTTACTACAGAGTAATTCAATAAAACTTCATCAATGGTCAACCACAGTGAAAGGAACGTACAAGAAGCACAAGTATCTTTGATTGCCCACAACCATAACTCTATTTCAATTCTTTTACAAGGTATTCTGTTACTAGTAACTTCCTCATTTCCGAAGCACTCGGGGGGGGGGGGGTATTAATCACATTTAGTGATAGCTCTTGTTGTTTTTCTTCTTCTTAAATTAGTGTGACTTGACAGACCTATAAAAATTAAAACAAGAAATATCTTTAAAAAGGATTCTCGGGCAAAGTAAAACTGGTAAGCATGCAAAATTATGTTACATGTATTTCTAAATATTCAGTACAAAAAGAAATATTAGCAGTTCTTGCCTAACAATGACATAAAAATTATTTCTTGTACCTAAGATAATGCCCATTTTGTAAACATTCAAATTGAATTATAGTGATGATTTTTCAGTGTAGGATAACTTCTCTTATAGGC